TTGTCCCAGACCATCGTATTATAATAGCTTCACTGTCCCGGACCATCTCATCTCAGTCGTTGTATGTAGGCCAATACTTGCATAAACAGACAATAATTTTGACCGCGTTCACTAGCTATTCCCATAAACAAGAAGAATGCAGAATGTAATGTAAAAATTTAGTTGAGTTGAATTCACGAGCATACACGTGAATACAGAATGTACATTACGTACAGTCACATACAATCATTGAATCAAATAATTAAATCAGAAATCAATGAAAAATAATTTATTGCACGTGTTTAGAACATCGTATTTTTGTTTCAAACAAAATCTTTGAATTTTGTTTCCTCTTTTTGCTTTCTATCTTTACTCTTTCCCTTTCTGTTCCTCTATCGTGTATCTGTAGCTATTCCACTAATATTGTGATTTCTAATAAAATAAAAAGGTGGAAATGTTTAAAGTACTGTGAATACTTGACATACGAAAGTTAGTCCATCATGTAAAATAACCATAAGTTGTTTTCATATGCAAACCATGATTTGTAATTTCCCATATCGTTTGACCCAATTTAATTTGAAAATAGGTCAAAATCTTGGGGCTTTAAAATAACCAATGACATGAAATAACATGTGATCTGCGACCAGCATTGATAAAATTTATGATATCGATCAAAACAAAATCTCTTACAGATAATTTAATTTATTTTAAGATAAGTGGCACGTATATTATGCAGGTCACAAAATGCAACGTGTTTTAGGTGTATACAAGTCAAATCTGTACAAACCGAGTAACGAAGGAAGATGGGTGCCGTATGCGGCGAATTATCTGAATCATAACAATAGGTGATAGAGACGTCATAAAACAAATTGTAATCAGAGTATTAACGTTGCTACTGGTGTCGTTCCTCGCATATTACTGGGTTCTTCCGCCGAAATGCGATTGTTGACGGATTAATCGACAAACAGGGCCCTTCAAGGTGACAACAGGGAAAAATGTTCTGGGATTCAGACATTCTTCGAAAGTTAGTGAGCCTTCTCCTTTAATATGCGAACATGGTAGTGCATATTCAGCGCCAACGGCTATATAAAAGGTTACCTGGCGGCCAATTTTACCAGTGTCGTTTGTGACTATTCCGACTACAGAAAACACAGTGTTAACACAATTAGTCAATTAGGAATGACAAGGAAATTTGCAATGTTTTAGGATGCAAGTTTGTGTCTTCTTTTCTTCAGCTGTTGTTGTTACTACGCTACGACCAAAAATACTACAGAAAAGCTATTGGCAATCTGTTGAATATTCCGTATGTATAAAATATTGAGATGCAGATTTCTTGTACATTTTTACGAACAAAATGTCCACAAAAACACCACTCTTGAATGAACGTGGAGTCGAAAACATGGAGTCACTAAACGTAAAACGACCTTCAGATTTCTTTCACTTACGAAATTGGCCGTCAAAAGCCTCCTTAGACAAACATTATTACGTCAAATGCACAACCATATTTGCATATATTTAAGTATTAAGATGATATAGAGATTAATAAATAAGTCACATTGGCCTGTTGTCTAGAAAGACGTTATTAATGTTTCATGATAAACCTCTGAAAAAAATTAGTAACTTTTATAGAATGTCTGAATCACAGATAACTATTTTCTTTTGTGAATAAATAATTCCGTGCATATTTTGTTTAAACACCAGTTACATATTAATCCTCATTCAAGGTAAAACAACTGCATGTACGTTACATACTATTACGCATAAAGGTGCACCGACACGGTATAGCTGTGATAACCATTAATGCCAACAAACACAATTAAGGGAACAAGTTTTCAAAACAAGACGTTTAATGTAGGAACAACAAATTTCAAACATAATTCAAATTTGACTGAATGTTTGTATTGTAACTTTTTTTCATCAACATATTTACTTGTAACGTCACATTATAAATTATCACAGCGTGTTTACGAAAGTTGTGTGACTGATCACCACATTTAGCTATTGTTTGACTTTAAGACATCTACCAGCATTTCTATAATTGAGTTAATTAGTTGTATACATTTTATTTTAATAACTCATTGTACCGGAAACACCAGTGTCAACGTGATGGAAATGCAATAGCGTAAAGTAGCTGCTGAGGAGCTAGAATGATTATAATTTGTAAATATTGTTGACGTATTCTATAAAACAATTTTTGATATAATTAAACAGGTAGTTCTATGATCGAGGTTCTATCACTACTCGCACCTGTCAGAATTCTGTGCGGAAACAATTTATGAGATAATATTGAGCGTCCTCACAGTTTAATTTATTCCCTTTTTTTCCCAGTGATGTGTCATATGCGTGTCATCCATGATGTGTATAGGAGGATTATTGTTATTTGGCGAGGCAATGATTGCGCTAAACCATTCAAGTCTGTTGATTTCCTGTTAGTTGGCCAGACATTTATAAAATTGAAAAACGATAAGCATTGGACCTTTAAATGTGAACTGTGAATGAAGTTACATACAACCATTGAATCAAATAATTAATTCAGAAATTCAATGTAAAATTAATTCAATGTAAAATAATTAATTGCACGTGTTTGGGACATCGTATTTTGTTTCAAACACAACCTTTGACTTTTTTTTTAAA